GATGTGTAAATGAGTTATCTCCTCAGAGCTTTATTATCTAGCTCTCTGCACGCACTGCAGGCCTATGATGCTCCCCCATCATAGGCCTGCAGTGCGTGCAGAGAGCTAGATAATAAAGCTCTGAGGAGATAATTATTGTCGTGTACAATTCTTCATTGTAATTCTACATGTAGCTGATACCATAATAATGTGAGAGGCATGTTTTTTTTGGTATATATGAGTAAGGGACTAGACTGTGAGCAGTTTGTCTTTTGCTCAAAATTCTGTGGGGAAGGACGCAAGGAAGAACGCAACACAAATGAGCGGTCCTATGCTCGCACGCTCAGTCGTTGTGCATTCTTCCCCACAGATTTCCGAGCAGAAGAGAGACTATTCACAGTCTGGTGAGGCACTTGCATGATGGGTGCTGCTATTGTTTCTTTTCAAAATAGTGGGATCAAAATATCAACTGTACCATTATAACAAAAAATCATATCATCTCACCATTGGCCTCAATGGTTTTGCACTTTTATCTTGTTCTTGAACTTGATTGTCTTCCTCTATTTATAGAAAAGTTAACATTTAAACCACGTGCTGTTCAGAGCACCGTTTAATAATTGTCATAGAAGTCCCACTATTTCTCAGACAGTTTAAACAACAATAGCCAAAGAAACTAAACTGAAAGGTTGTTTTCTCAAGTGATATTAGGAAAACAGATGGTCAAGACTTTTAATCAGAAGCTCTAGCCAAATGATTAGAACAGTTGTTTATAAAACACATTTAAAGTATTATAATTACTACAGGCAAATTCACAAAAAGCTGATGGGTGCTTAATGATCATAATATAATAATAATCCATGGAAGTAAAGTAACTTGATAACCTTCTAAAGTGACTGATGCATCTCCTGATAACTTCAATTCCACTTGCACCTTGAGTGTCTTCAGATTTTCATCCAGTCGCTCTTGAGCGCTAGAAGTCAGGATAATGAATGAGAATTTGCAACAAGATTCAGTGGATAATTTTGTCACGTAAAAAAGTCCAATGCTTGCTTTTTATACCACTAATTAGTACAACATTGCATTACTGTACAGTGGAACCCTGCCTCACGGCCACCCCATTAATATGGCCACCCTGTTATTATGACCACCTTATACCGACCCAAACAAAAGCTCAGTCAGTAATTTTCTTCATGGCCCATTGGTGACCTGATTATTGGGGCTCCACTGTACTCTAAACAGCTTAAAAAAACTTGGTTACAGATCCCCTTTACAATCTACTGCAATACATGTACTACAGGAACAATCTTGGTTACCATACTTAAAACAACCCTAAAAAGTCCACATTGCACAAGCTACACCTTGGGTTTAACAAACACACTTGTAATCATGTAAGCCTCTAGCTACATGTATTTAGTGGCTGATACTTATGATTGCACAGATTTCCAGACCTGGATGAAATCTGAACTGTATTTTATCACTTTCTTCATGGCATGACCCCTGAATCACAAATATATTTGAGAAAGAACTTTTGGGACTTGCTGCTTTTTTT